AGCAAAACTTGCCCGTGTTCTTGAAAAAAAAAAAAGTGCAAATCTGTAGCTTCTTCATTTTTTTCAGCAGAGAGATATGTTCATGGCAGGTAATTCCCTGTCCTGCTGCGCCGGGCCTTGGCACTTGCCGTCCTCCTCACACGGCCCTTACTCGGGGCCGATCAAAAGAGATCGGATTTCTTCATGCTGGAAAAAATCTGAAGAAACTCTGACCAAAAATTACATTAAAACCTATTGAACTTTTCTTCCCCCTCTACGTATTTCTTCCCCCCCTCATGTACTGTAATCACTATGTATATATATATATTTATATAGTTTCGGTGGTCTCGCTGAGAATATGAGTTTGCAGGAGCGATGTAACTCCCTTTTCCAATACATGCATCGGTTCAGTCTTTCTGCTCTTCAGTTACTTCTTTGATTGAACCAATGATTAATGAAGACAAATTGAAGTCTGAAAACCAAGACCTTCTAGCTGTTAACATCAACCAGGGCCTGCATTGGCCCCATGCCTTGGAAAACAAGGCCGCTGTTTAACTGCCATATAGTATTAATTTCCACTCAACTTTTACATTTGGTGTAATACTTTAAGGCAGGATAGTAATGAGAACTTGTTTATTTATTATTTGTTTGTTTAACTCGCTGGAGAAGCTGAGTTTCAGGTAGCAGTGGGAGATCCTTGCAGCAGGGCTCTTTCTTACGCTAATCCCCTGCTCTGCAGCTCAATGCTATAGGACTGAAAAACAGGGAATTGCTTAGGGATTTGGAGATGGAGGTTTGGCATGGAGAAAGACAACGACAACTTATTACTGTGCCAAAAACAGTGTGTGTTTCTGTAGGCCGGGAAGACACGTGTTGATTCAAACCTTGCAGCGCTGCCAAGTGCATCAATCAGAAAGGCTTTTTCTAAGGCTGTGTTCATAGGCTTCTCTGCGCATGTTTTGCAGGTATTGCTGCATTTGTTTTTCTTTTAAAACAGCTTAAATCCTGTGAGATGTCTGGAGGTGTGTGCTAGGGCGTTCAGATGGAGGGTATTTCTTTCCAAGATAGTGCTTGAAGAATGCATGGTGCCTTTTCCCCTCTTGTTCCTTAAAGTCAGCCTAGGAGAATCGTTTTTTCCTACTCTGCAAGTTTTGTCAGTCAGGATTGCCTTTTTTTATTATTATTTATTGCTTTCTGGAGGAAACAGAACGGCAGAGGAACAGGACGTTGTCCCCAAAAGGCACGTGAGGTGACCATTTCTCTGCAACTCTTCTGCATGCAGGTCTTTTCAGATTGCTTAATAGAAAGAAAAAGGAGTTTGTGCATAAAATAAACGGAAGACGAATGCCGGTCTTGGTGTTTTTGCCCTTTTTCCCCCCCGTCTGTTTTGGTTTAGCAGCTGGGCTAGAGGCCCCAGCAGAGCTGTCGACCGAGTTTACAGCTGAAGTTATCAGTTGATTAAGCAAGTTTCATGCTGTTACACCTCTTCACCTCAAAAGCTGATCAAGCGGTAGGAGAGAAATGCCTCTGTTAAAGATTAAACACTCCACTCCTTGTTTTAGGGCCTGAGAGGCCTGGGAAATTCAAATGGGCTTTCAAAGACACTTGCCTGCAAGAAAACCCGACAAACAGTCCAGGTGTCCTGTGTGCAAAGCCACTGTTTGTAGGGGCGGAGAGGATTTGGGGGCTGTTTTCACCTCCTTTCAGCTGAATTTAGATAGGGAAATATCTGGATTTCCCGTGTCGCTTCTGCCCGCGGAGTTGCACCATAACCCTCGTACCCTCTTGCCGCAACTCCCGTCTTATCTGAAGACTCGCAGGCAGCGGCGGTAGCGGGGCCGTTAGTTGGGGTTACCCAACCGTGTTTTAGTGGCCTTGAGCTTTGGCAGACTTACGTGGTCAAAAATTGCTGTGTCAGTCTGCTGAAACCGGTATCCCTGAAATGGTTGGTCCATTTGATGGGTGAAGACTAGGAAGAAGAAATGTTCTGCTTGCTTTTCCTCAAGTATGTTTTTATGTAAGAAGTACTAGGGCCCTCGTGTTCGGGGGAGAGGCCGAGAGTGTAGAAATAGTTGCGTGCTGCATCCTTGATGGGGATGTGTTTTGACAGCTCCGTTCCTGGAGGATTCCCCCGGACTGCTCTGGAGCTCAAGCGCTGCCTCTGAAGAGCGACGGCCTTCCCTGCCTCGGGAATGTTATTGCTGCTGGAGCTGAGGAGCTCTCCGCTAGGCTGGTGAGCAGCATCCCCCATCGCAGGACGTTGCCAGCAGGTAAAAGGCAGCCTCGTGTGGACAGTTAAACACCATCTCCCACCTTATTTCAGTCTGGACTCGATGGTCTTGAAGGTCTTTTCCAACCGTAACAATGCTGTGATTCTGTGTAGGAGTCTTGGTGAAATTGGACTACAGCTGAGGTTTGCAAAATCATTTTCCAGACAGATATCCCCGAAGAGGTGCTGAGGGTTAAAGCTTGTGGGAAAGGGGCCGTGGTGCACTGTTAAAAACCCTGCGTGAGGGAGCAGGTATCTCAACCTGTGGTTGCGTTTGACAGTCTTGATTTCAACACCTCTTTGCTTCTGATTACCAAGCGGTGAAAAGCAGCCAGTGCCTCTCCCAGGCCCATAAAAAGGTTGTCAACGTGCAATTACTAATGGATGGGACAGTGCTGAGCTGTGCACAAGAAACCCAGCTTTTGCTCAGCACACGCAGTGAGGACAGAGCAGGGCTGCAGCCTTCCTAGCAGGGCCACGTTTGGCTTTGCAACCTGCACGTTGCTTTTCAGCTTCGGTGTCCACGACTGAAGAAAACAGGCCCAGCTGCTTGCAAACCATTCCCGGGAATGCGTTTTAATTGCTGCGCACTGATGCAGCTGGTTCACCAGAAAGTTGGAGAAATTACTGAGAATTTTCCATTCGAATCATTGAAGAATGATTCAGTTGCTTGTGCAGGAAGACTTGAACTTCGAGCCAGCCACAGATGCGAGGCCAAAACGCTGCTCATGTTAGAGGCATTCAGACATACAACGCTCCTCAAGCGAGGGGTGTCCCCGTCTGCAGTCCCCCCGATGACCTTGGCAGGTTTGGAAGGACATTTGACGTAGGAATTGTGTCAGCTCTTTGAAGACATTGTAAAATATTCCCGGAGGAACCAGACAAGCAAGCTTAGCAAGGAACATTCAAGCAGATCTGCACGCGCAGAACATTACGGGTAACATGTTGCAAAGAGTCATCAGTAACGACAATTAAATTCCCATTTTGCTAACATGCACGGGTGTTTTCTCCTGAATTGTGCCAGTGCCCTAGGAATTAGCACCAGCAGAACCGTGACTGTGACCTGCCCTTTTCTCCCCAGCTATTTGTGTATAAACCAACCCCACGCTCAGGTTACGAGGGACGTGCGGAGACCGTGTGCGCTTAGGAGGGCGTTTGTGGTATCTGCAACAGAACCACCAAAGGCTTCGACAATCTAGATCAAAAATAAATGACCAGTGTCCTAGCAACACCTGGAAGACAGCAGAGCCTGTAGAGACCAGACCGAGCTCGCTTTCAATGGTGAAAAGACTAATGGCACTAAGGACAAATGCAGGATAATTAGCACTTAGCCTTGCACGGTTTGTTCGTTATCGAACACTGCATTGGGGTGCAATATTTGAAGTATGCATTAAGTTATCCTTATGGAAAGATGTAGAAGGGGAGTACACAGAGCAGAACGCTTATTCTGTCAACGGGATATGGAGATGATGTGAGGTTAAAAGTTTAGAAAGTGGGAAAAGATGAAAATTAGAGATTTGTTTAAAAAAACAGAAAGTCAGTCGGAAGGCTCACAGGAACAACTATGGAGCAATGTAACCAGTCTAAAAGCAGCGTAACATATAAACCTTGCAGCAAAGTATTAAGCTGTCTCTTTTCTCATTCTTTTTTGCATGAAGTGTGTAAGAACGTCACTTTACACTTCCTTCTAATTAGCTTTACTGACTGAAATCTATTTTATGCCATTTTTTTCCTGTAATATTTTTGACTGAAAAAAAATCCAGAAGCCAGTGAAGGTCTGAAGAGGCAGGAGCAGCAGCAGGTTACAGCATGTGCATCTCTGAATCCATAAATAATCATCTTTCGTTTAAGGTACAAAATAATAGATGGGGCATTTTCAGTAAGCTGATAACGTAAAAGCAATAAAATTAAATTTGCCCTGCAGTATCAGGCAGAGAACTTGTCCTATGCCCATGGAATTTTTCCAATTTCTACAATCCCTCCTGTTTAATCTGTGATATTATAGGATTGATGTTACATTTAATGAATTAAAAATGAAATAGGGTTAACTTTTGCGTGCGTGTTGATTTAATAATCATTAGCTTAAGAGATTCATGGCTCATGTAATACCAAAATGATGCAGAAGAATTAGAAGACACTTTCAATAACAAATGTTTGTGCTCCCTTTAACGTGCTCTGTTTTACAGAGTATTATGGAAATGAATTGCACTTCGCCCTAGAGTTTTTGAAGGTCAGGGATAGAAGTTTATTGCAAAAATAGCTCTGAATTTAATTAGAAATAATGAGTTTAGTATTGTCAGAAATGTGGTTATATCAAATCAATGTATTGCCATCTATCCTGTTTTTTTTTTCTGGAATTACCCAGACTTTGCTGTCATGATCCTCTCCCCCGGTGTACCTTGCAGAATATTAATGGATCTAAAAATAACGTGTGAAGTTTGCAGTGGGATCACGATGGAGGCAACGGGCTCGGTGCAACACCCCGTGCTGCGTCACGCCGCGTTGCTTGTGGCAGCCTGGGCTTTTAGCTTTGTACCACTTCTCAGGTAGAATATAACAGAAAAACAAATCCCACTCATAAACATCTAGCAAGAAATCTTTCCACTTAGCGTGAATCATCCACATGGTACTATTTTTTTTTCCTGAAGAAGAAAAACTGAGCTCAAAGCCGATACTTTGTTCCTTTTGGGGTCATCTCTGCGTACGTTAACATTGTCATGGAGAATTAAGCGTTTTCTCTTCTTTTTTTTAGCACAACTTATGTAGGTCATTTCTGCCCCGGCCTTCCCCAGGCCTTCCAAGAAGGCCGGGAGGAGCCGTTTCCTGGTGGAGCGAGTTTGGAGCAGGGGAAGGCTCTGTGCTGGGAACGGTCTCCATCACGGCCGGGACCACGCGGAGCTCGGAGCGGGTTGTGGCCCCCGGGGACCATCTTGCATCTAAACCCGTCATCGAAGAAGTGCGGGGTGAGTCCCACCGAGGAGAATCCCTGGACTTGTGGATCCCAGGAAAGGTTTGGAAGCTGGTAGCGACGCCAGCGCTGAGCTACCCACCTCCTGCCTCTGACGCTGCAGGAGCAAATTCCCACCTGGATGAACGAGACCAGGCTCTAGGGAAGCTTCTGCAGGATAGCTGGGAGGCATCGGTGCAAAAAAAGCTTTAAAATAAGTCTTTTTTGCAATGCAAATGCGTCCCATCTCCTTAAACTTTTTCTAAAAGCATCCTGCATCCATGCAGGGTCTCGGGCATGATTGGGTGAAATTTGCTGAGTTTTTTTTTACTTTTTCTCTCATATTTTTCAGGAGAGGACCTTTGGAGGGGGCTGTTTTTTGTTGGTTAGTTTTCTCAAGCCCTTGGATAGCAGTTTAATCCCTTTTTGTTGCGCTGAGCAGCAACCAAAGCCCCTTTTGCACCGGGATTGCCCAGGCTCCTGAGCTGTTCAAACCACTTCTCCCCTCGGGATGGCAGGAAGGAAAACAGATGGATGGGGAAGACAGTCCACAAGGTTGTAGGGAGGCATTTAGAAAAGTGTGTTTGGAAAGTGCATGCAAGCTCGCTTTGAGCATGGAGCCCTTCCATTTAATCTAAATGGCAGATTTAATTTTTAATCTGTGGCATAAAATATTAACAGAAAAGGTAATTGCCCAGTGTTCATTTCCAATCAAATATTAGCTTGTGATCGGGAGCATTACTTGCAGGGCCATCTCTGCAGTATTTTACTGGAATATATGCCAATGTCATTAGTACATTTGGAGAAAGCGAGAGAAATCCCCGTTTCTGGCTAAATCCAAAGGTGTTTTTCCCAGTCGTAGCTTGTGCTGCTCAATGCAGGTGTCGTGGCTGGGCACGAGCAGAACCTTTGTGTTTGCCCCAGACTAGTGACGTTTGAAACGTGACGTACAAGGTGCAGTAGCCCTTTGGTGTCCTCTGCTGCAGGCTGGGGCTCTGGGAGCCCTTGGTGACAGCGCGGTGGCTTTTCTGCCATTGCTTTATTTACCCCCAGCTGGCTTTTCTGCTGCCGCCTAATTTGCTTGCATTGTAAGCTGTTGCTAAGATATTATCTGGCGTTAATACATCACCTATTTAACCCTAATGCTGCTGTTTGGAGGTAAGCAAAGCCTGCAGCAATTTTGGCGCCTTCAGAACAAAAGTCAAAGGTATTTTTTAGCTGAAACATTGCCCAGGATAATTCTGCTGGAGGGAGGAAGGTCGGCCAGCCCATGCAGAGCTGGCTCCAGAGAGCTCCGCGCTTCTTCTGAGTTGCTTCATTATCCTGGAAAGCCTCCAAAGGTGGGTTCCTACCCTCTCTTTCAGGGCTTTCTCCTGCTTGGAAGAGCGAGTGTCAGGGGGAGATGCCCAAGAGCTGGTCCTGGCATTGGGGATCTCCCTGGTTTTCAAATCGTGGTTGCAGAGTCCTCCTTTACCAGCCTTGTGTGATGCACTTACCCATTATATAACATCTACGTCGTATTTCCCTGGTTAACAGAGGAACCAGATTCACTTGGCTGCACAATGTCCTGTGAAACGCACAGAAAAGTGACATCTAGGAGTAAAGGATTTGGTATTGACTACTTGGCCATGAGGGCATAAAAAGCATTTGAGAGAGGGGCAAGATTAATTTCAGTAGAAAATGTTATGCCCGGTTTCTTTGATTCGGCATCGCACACATCCTGTTTAATAAGTGGGGAAATCAGCAATAATCTTCCTTGTAATCCCATTGCACTCAATAGTTGGGCTTCGGTCCACAAATCGGGACACTTCTGAGCTCTAGCACTTTGATAATAAGTTTTATTGAAGTCCTGGCTTCCACAATTCTTTTTAATAATTATTATATATATTAAAAAAAAAAAACTCTGAGTAAAGCACTTGGCTTACTGCAGTATCAAAATACATCAGTAAAGATAACACAATTTCCTTGCTAGTGAGCAAAGCAAATGCATTACTGTGAATGTAAAGCTTTTTTTTATCAGCTAGACCTTTTTGAAACCACTTAACGCCCTTGTTGACCAAAAATATAGGAAGGCCAGAAACTAATGTGAGTTCCTAATGAACAGGAGCCTTGTTGAAAAGGGCAAGTTTGGTTTCTGGGGACATTGCAGATTTGGATTGGTGCTTTGTGCTGGGGTGGTTGGATCGTTAAAACCTGCTGGTGGAATAGAAAACGTTCCCCAAGAGGATAAATTGCCTTGCAGAGCAATGAGATTGCAGCAAGCGAGCGGCGTTCCCTGTTTCCCGGATGTTCAGCGCTGTAGGAGGTCCCTAAACAAGGGGAAAATGAATACAAAAAAAACAATACGTGAGCTCGGGCATTATTACTAATATTTTTTTTTCGATTGCAATGGCATTCCTCTAAAGTGTTGAAGGTATTTTTTGTATTTTTCAAGCAGTTGGCCACAAAGCTGATGTTTCTGAAGACACTCTTGCATATAAATATCTTTGCAGCTCTTGGTTTTTGTTAGAAAAATAAATAAAAATAGAAGAGGAACCTGATTCATGGGTGGAGGGAGCCTGTATTTCTTTGCTGTTTGTTTTGAAACTCCTTTTTATAGCCCAAACTCCGGAGGGAAATGGGAGGAGGGGTGAGAAAACGTGCAGGGAGAATCTAGGGGGTCTCAGAGCCCCTGGCCCCATCTCGGATGTGTCCATGCAGGGCACAAGAATGATTCAAAACCAGTGCAAATTTTGCCTCCTTTACTGTTTCTTTTTTTTTTTTTTTAAAAAAAAAAACCCTTTGCAAGACGGGTCACACGGGTGTAAAGTGGCCCGTGGTGCTTAGAGAAATGCCTGAGTGCCCTTTTGTTTAATTCCCTTCAACTGGCAAAACCTGAAGAGAAGAAAAGCTTCTTTCTGCCCGAGGCACTTGCAAAATCACCTCTCCCAGAACCGGCTCAAAACATTTTTCTGGTCGGGTTTGGGAAAGGGCTGAAGCTGGGGGAGGCCGGAGGCAGTTGCACCTTGCAGAGGTTGTACCAAAGCCTCCGTGTTTGGGCTGAAACCACCAATTTTGGCTCTTTCAGCGCAGAACGGTTTAGTACTGCAAGGCGGTGTGACCTCGGTGGCTCCGAAAGCGGCGGGTGACGGGAATTTGGTTGAGTGGTTGAAATTTGGCTTTCCCAGGATCTCTTGCCAATCCAAGAACATACTGGGAGACTTTTCGGGGTTTTATCCATGTGTACGTGAAGTGTCAGCGATGTTCTGAAGTCTGTACAGCTTTCACACCGAATATGTAATTTGCTTGCTGCGTATTTGGGCATGTTTGCTATCTAGCAGGTAATTGGAAAGGAAAATGCTTCCCGAAGGAGATCTCATCCTGCTCAGCTCTGCTCGGTGATTTCCCAGGGCATAGGTGCTAGCACTGGGCAAGATATTTGATTATTTGAAGCCAAAAAGGGTTGCAAGGCCAGGATGCCGCCTTCCTACCAGATTTTCGTTCCTAAGGCTTGGAGAATCCAGATGTAAGTGGATTCCCCCGTTCAGTTTGAACGTCGTCGTCTGCCTTTCCTTTTAACCAGCCAGTTTTATGTTGCAATATTCATTTTTTTTTCTTTTGGGCTAATGCTGATTATATTAAGAAGTGTTTTGAAATAGTGACAGAAATTTTAGTCTGATAGAAATGACAGAAATTTTAGTCTGATAAAATGACAGAAATTTTAGTCTGATAGAAAACAAGCCAGGGCTGGAGATGCCCTCCAGTTTTTGTAAGCACTGCAATAGCAGCACATCTGAGAGACACTCAATAGATATTCAGTATTTCAAACTGCCAAGACTATTCAAACTTCTTCTAAGGAGGCCTCCCTTTGCATTAAAAAAAAAACATTTTTGTATTTGAATGCTTTATTTAAATCAACATTAAGCAGCGTGAGGCTCTGACATTGCAAGTCCCATGATCTCTGTTCCTTTCCTTTCTGTTTTTCTTTCTTCTCGCTGCAGCATCTTCTAAGTCCTTCCTTTCTCTCTCCTCTGCTTTCTTGAGAAAGCAGCTGCCTGCACCTCAGGTTTTGAATATTTTCAGTTTGTTTCTCTGTTACGGAGAGGGCTTCACCCAGAACGATCCTTCATA